TCCAAACTTTCTCCACTCAGTGATCACGGGTTAAGAGACGGCACTGTTCCAGGACGTGATGGATTTTTGCCTGGCAAGCATTCACTACACTGCGACGTGGCGGATGTGACTTTCCACCTAATATAGTCACTGCCTCTTGCTTCACTCCGGTGGAACATTGTATCCAGCAACGCGAAGCTCGAATTATAGGAAGGATTGGATCCCTGCTTGTCAACCGATCTAACAAAAGGCGTATGAACTGATCGATCAGTCAGGGGCCCCCAATGGGCGTGATTCCTTGAATTCACCCTGCTGCCTTGCGGGTGGGCTATGTAGCCAAAAGCTCCGTGCGGTACCCCCTAACTCAACACAACCCTGCTTCGACTTGCGCAACGGGGTAGTATCACGCCTTCTGACGAAACCACGGATTTCTCTGCGTTGTGTTCGGCTTTCTCTTTATGACAGCTGTACCTTCCTTTGATTTCCATGGTTTTTGATGGCTTTTTCTCTATTCGTAGACTGATGCGTGCATGTATATGATTGGCGGCATCCGGTTCCGGATTTGCCTGTCACTGTGGCCAGCCACAGCACGCCTGCTCTTACAGTAGGACCATGCATGGCTTGCGCTGCACCACCCACAGTTCCACCCACACACCGCATATCCAGAGTAAAGCCGAAGGAATAAGACCGGGTGGCATGTGGGTGGGAGCCACGTTTCATCAACGGAGCCGGTCCACACTCCTACACAGGCAAACACAAGCATGCTGTATTTGGGGAATCAACCGCACGCTAGGCGTTGGTTAGCCGTAGGCCGATCCACACACAAACCATGTGCAAAGAACCACTCTTTGAGCCTAACACGGTCACTAGGATCGTAGACCCCGTCCCCTCCAGCAATGACCAACTGTCTCCTAGAACCAGTATAGACAAACTAGTGGGTACTAGACAAGTAGGCACCTTGTCAATATGCACCTCAAGCACAGCCACACCGGGGATGTCAAACAACAGCCAATCACTGGAAAGGACGATATCAAATAAAATGTATAGAATAAAGTAAATGGATTTGACGACATAAATACTCGCTAGATGAGCCTATGGAGTAAATTGGTTATCAGTGCATTCACAATAAGTACAAAATGTCCGAAAGCTATTTCAAACCTGCTACGTGTTAAAGTTACGCGAGTGTACCACAATTAGCATGAGCGACGCGTGCAAGTTAGTAGAAAATTATCAGGTACGCAGATCAAAACAGATAAACTGGAATGAGTTTTGTCCACATCAAAAAGTTCGTTTAAGTGTAAGTTGGTTTAGCCTAACTGCGGTGAAGAAGCATCATGAATTCATCATTGGCATCAGCATAGGGCACCATCATTTATATATATATATATATATATATATATATATATATATATATATGAGATACTGTTTTGTGTAGACGACCCAGAAACCAAGCAAGGCGGGTCCGTAGCAATGTCCAAATGGGATACGGTCCCAGTGATCGGAACGACGCAGGCCACGATTGAGATTCTTTGTCGCAATTCAACACACACGGCGTGTACTCCAAAACCCGGCAATGGTGCTGACAGCTTTTTTTGATACTAGGGCTTGGTTTATCATGAATACGCAACCTATAGCACAACAATCATTAAGGCGTACTACCGAGTGGTCTTTATCACCTCCGTGATGCTGTGAGACACAAACGCTCCGATATGGGGTAACAGACCATTGGCAACTCCATCACGATAATGCGCCAGTATATTCTTCACATTTTATGAGGGTTTTCCTAGTCATTCACGACACGCTAATTTTTATACATGCTCCCTGCTCTTCCGATATGGCTCCATGTGACTTTTGGCTTTTCCCAACACTGAAACTCTTCTTCAAAGGGAGTAGATTTTAGTCCAGAGAAGACAACACATAAGGTTCGACAGACCAGCTTTATGCCATCTCAAAAAGTGCTTTCGTGTGTTGTTTCCTATATTGGCAGCAATGCTGAGAGAAATGTATACTTGCTTAAGTGGACTACTTTGAAGGAAACTTAGGTAGCATTTTTGCGTGTTATCAGTATAGCTTTTATTTAAAAAAGCTCGATATTTTTGAACAGCCCTTATTTTTACACTTTTGCCTAACAAACCCTATTATCGTCCTGTGAATCTTATTCGTTCTGCTTCAGCCCATTGCGGGATATTCGGCTCATTGAATATCCGGAATATGGCACAATTTTGGTCCCAGCATAATTGCATTTCTGGATGAAACAACATACTCTATCCCCATAGTCTCACACACGATCTGTTTGTCACAGCAAGTTGGTAGAAATCGACGTATGAAATAGATAGTTCCCTCGCAAACTTGGAAAGCAAACTAAGAACACTTCTAGGGAATTTACATGCGTTTTTTGTCGTATCACAAGTGTCAATGATACAACCATTGATGGGTGCAACCAAGTATACACACAGTGTTAAAGCGGAATCTTCACCGGTTGCGCACAGAAATGTCTTACAACTTTAGAAACTCGCTCGATAGTGATTATCCGGGTTAATGACTACAGGTCTTTACTCCAGTTTATCGCGGATGGCTCAGGGCCGACGAAGTACAGCGCACCGATGAGTTTTGCAAACGTGGCACCAAAGTTAACTACAGCTATGCGAATAAGCCAAGGTCGGTACGTGCTCAGATGACCAGTACGTTTTGGGACTAGGTACTCCGGATTATTCATGTCCCAATGATTAGGTAAAATAGGATGGCAGTCGCCCACCTTCCTGATGTGACTCTTTCTTTGGCCTAAGAACTGCCTTATGTCTGAACTACATTGGCGCTCTGTGCTCAAGGAAGCCAAAGTAAAGTGTTTGTGGCTGTTCTACGAACATCCTATTATTCCTGAGCTATTCTGGGTGTAATAACGGCTCAACGGCGAACGCGCTGCCAGGCGATTCACTAGTATCCCACTTTTTGGTTGCTTCACGTCGTCCGTCCTTCAAATCTTAACGTATGTGTCTGAGTTTATGTTGCCATTTATGGCCGTGACGTGTTGTATCCACCGACACAAGTGGCGTCTGCTTCATTATAATATTAGTGGTTATTGAGATGATCCATCGCGACAATATTCGGTCAGACATTTATCGCGTATCCAGAAAAGGTTTACCTAATCTTTCGCCCCCTCTGGTCTACAACAGTTCTAGATCTGGGGGTCAACCCTATCCTCTGCACTTCCACTACCTTCATAACAGTGGAAGGTGAGCAGCACTATGTCAGAGATAGAAATCACTCATGGCAGAGCGCCGCCGTCACCCATGGCTTAGTGGCATAAGTCGCTGATTCCTAAGCATAAGTTCATGGGTTCTAATCCGGCTGGTGCGCGCTACGAACGGGTCCCAGAAGGACGAAACGGCCGTCTATCGCTTTCCCGGATGTGTGGCAGTTACCTGGCTGAGTCTCACTGCGATGCATCTTTTGAGTTCCATCTGTATCGGGTTCTGCCTCAATACTGAAGGACTTCCTCGGGCTTGTATTCACTTATCCTTGTAATGGTACTCTACTGTTCTTTATGGCAACCGTTCTTCTTAGCTCCTAACCGATCCCTATAATGCTTCTGGCCACTGTGGATGCGCTGAACCTGATAGTTCAACCAAACCCTTTTCATCTCTTGAATCAGGCTCATGAGGGCCTAATTCCATCTACACTTCTAACACTCAAGGTTATGCACACAAGCGGCTTCAGAGAATCTCTTGGCATGTTGGCACCTATTTCTTTTGTCACCGATAACGGACATTGTAATTTGTTCGCTGTTACAGGCCAGCGAATTGTGAGTACAGTTAGAAAGCAACTTCTCGTACTTGGCTGAACTTAGACAACTGGGTGCTACGCGGGCGCGCACAAGACCATGATCGGAATGTAGGTGATTGCTCCAGTTCGACCCACAATCTTACGTTAGCAAATGCCATTTCTAGTGACGGTAACATGCTAGATTTCGGTCGTTAGCTGAATTCCAAGTTTTGAACAGCACATGCGTATGCGGTTGCCTTGCTGATTTCACATTCTTGGGGCTTTTACTTGACAGTTATCACGCACTCACCCCACCCAACTCACTGATATCACATCGACGCTATCGACTGTACCGTCTGAGTTCTTGAATTCAGCTAATTGCGAACAGTGTTTGTCTCCTAGAGTCCATCGACCGGCTCCCGTTGTCTGACCTTCTGCACAATCGTTGACGCATTTGTGATCAGTGTTCCCACACAGGCTTCAAATATGATGCGCATCATCCATTGTTTTCGGGATCTCTACTTATGCAACTTAGGTGAAACTGTAGACTATGTTTCGTCTGTCTGAATTGGATTTTCGAGTTACCGTGCGTCGTTAGCATTTACCGCCTACTTCTCTCAGATCGCACCTTATTCCCCCACATTCGCTATGTTGTCTGTCTGTTTTATCACTTGTTGATTGCTAATCAAATTCATTCCTCTTATTTCTGTGGCTAACATATCCGAGTTTACATCCCCAGGGTATTCACTTGACTACCAAGAGCGAACTCAAACTGTTCCTACCAATCCTTGGCTTGCATCATTTTGCTGCACAACCTTTAACGGTTTATTAACATACTTCACGCGATATTCCGGCATTTCTTTGCTTTATCCACTTTGCGCCCTGACTTTGCGGCTTCGAAGTAGCCACTGCTGACCTAAACACGGATTGTGTTAAGTCGTCCTCGACTACCGGATTGGGAGTCGAACGCCACGTGCGTACCGGGTTGAAACACAATCACATTTGAGAACATTAACCATTGTCATTCTCCGAATATCGCCTTCCTATTTATCTCATCCATATATTGTGCTCCTCTGTCTAATGTACCGTAGATTGTTGCTTATTATATGTATTTATGTGCACATTATTAAGGCGATAGAGGTGTTATCTTGTTGCATCCTCTCACATGTGCGCCTTCTTGAGTCATCCGCTTTTGCTTGTTCAGCTATTTTTAAGTACCTTTCATAATATATTCATTTTTCCGTCTTTTCTTCATGTAGAAATGCCCTCAATGTAGTCAAGAATGATCTTATCGGTAAACTCGACGACGTCACTGGGTAAGTGCCCTTCACCTACTTTCCTTTCAATCCCTACGGAATTTACCAGCTTGTGTTTTTAGGGGTATTGGGTAGTTGGTGGTTCTTATTCGCATACAGCGCGTGTCATGTGTTATTGCCCCAGTCAGGCCACGCCTGAGTGACGACTGGCACGTACTGAGTGGGCTTATTTCTTTTAGTATTTAAAACGTGACGGCTTGGCACGAAATTCAGTTTGGTTTGTATGAAGTGATTACCTGATAAATGCTTAGTATCACGAGTACTTGGTTTGATTTTCAAGGTTAACAGCTAATGAATAACTATGGTAAATCGCACATGATAAATCAGGTTGGTAAACTAAGTCGTATGCCTTATTAAAGCGCACTTGGGAAGTTGCATGACGAAGTGAGATTCAGCGAAAACGACTTCAAAGCGATCGGTCTCTATTGATTTATCGTTCATGGAATTCACTGTGGAACGGATAACTGCTTCTTCACAGAAGTCATACAACTGAGCTGCACTTGCACGTGTTGTTACCGTCGCCAGTAGCTCAGCGCTCTCATCTAGAGACCGGCAACAGTCTAGTTTTGGGTTCGAGCGCCACAAGGGTTAGATAGGATGCGCACTGCTGCCGATTCTCTGAAGGATGAAGCAGCCGTACAGTGCTTTTCCTGACGTACGATGACTATCTGACTGGGTATAGATGTGACGCGTTTTTACCTGTACCATTCATTTTCCCCCTACTACTCCGTTCTAAAATGTCTAACGTTTGCTGGGGAAATGCGGTACACGGTGTCAGTGACGTGGTGCCTTGCCCAGCGGAATATACCATTGTTGAACGGGCTGCAGTGGGCTCAGTTTTCACCCTGTTTACCTTATGTTTCGCACATTTTCCCTCCTATTTCGCATCAAAATTGAGGGTGAGTCTACCCTGAATCAATTGTAACCGACCTATCCATGACCCGATCGTATTCCTTCGAGTTACCTTTGCTGGGAGGTGTTTGGACAGAATCGTGGGCAGTTCAGCGCTGGGCATCCGTAAAACTTGGCTATTTGCAGCTATAGTGACAGGAAAATCTAAAGATGGGCGCAGAAGTCCAGAAAACCAAGAACGAGCGAGGACAGAAACAGTCATAGGCGCCATATACGAGACTTGACACTTCAACGCATGTTCCACTAAATGAGCGGAGAGCGGTTCGCTAGTGATGAACGGTAGCGGTCCTTAGCCAAGGAGAACAGAGATGGCCAATAAATCGGACAGAAACGCCTTTTTCGCTGCATCCAGGAGTAACTGCAAGCAGAGTAACGCAACCGCGAACAAACAAATCAAGAGCGTTAGAACAACTCCAGGTTGGTCGAAATATAATTTACGGAAGCGAAGATACAGGGTCAAACAGGCATTCAAGACCCACCAATTTGGGGAGGAACGACGCGCAAATGTGACAGGTAGTAATTTCGCATGTATGGTGCGTTGTGAAACGGAAATGTGGCCGATATATGCGCACGTGTGACAGCTTGTTTAATCTTGGCCGCGTGCAATAATGATTGTGCTTTCTTACCGCTTCGGTCTTGCCACACTAGTATGGATCACTGGGAATCACCTTTCTGAACGATCATGTCCATTTGAAGAACGTTAATGTGGGGACGGGTGCTTGACAATGTTCTAGTCGGTGGCACTTTTATTTCAGTCTAACCAGGCTGATGTACGGTTCATTCTTGCCACCAGCACTTGTCGCGTTGCATCGAAGCGTCGGTATGACGTATCAGGTACTTGTCTCACAATATTCCATCCAGAGTACCGATTGGACACGTCACAAACATTTGGTCCGATTTTCCAAATGGGATACTTTTTTATTCACCACTGGTTGCCTAGTATAGCACGATACTATACTAACATCCATCATGCAATGACCCATCTTACTTCGCAAAGTAAACGTATCGCTTATGTCTCTAAAATTACGAATGACCGTTACTCCATCTAAAGATACGGAGCTGTTAGCGAGATTTCACAAGACTGGTGACTTGTAAGTATACTACAACTGCACGAATGGACCACTAAGACCAAACATGTACAAACGAAGTGACTCCAAAACGACGAAGTGTTCTACGAGCGGCGAGTGAAACAAAGGAGCTCGTTGTTATTCATCGTGGAATCAACATCTGCTCGCGTTAGTCAATGGCTTAGTGATCATGGCGACAGCCACCAAACACTATGCGCGGAGTTCCACTCTCAGCTCGTCTATCTCTACCTGATAATTCTAAACCAGGACGAAACCGTCGGTCGTGGAGTGCAGCGAGATGGGTGACAGCCATACCGGAACCCTCTAAGAAATTTCCTCAACTTGGATTATCGGCCCTCTCTAGAGGAATATTCGCAGCTACCATAGCAATTTGAAGGTCAGCTACCACTGTGTCGCTGGTTTCCTGGGTAACATTTGAAATGGCGATGGAACTAACAACGCTTGCTTGTCGCACTATCTTCGGAGCTGGTTTCCCCTGACAATAAATTTAGCTGCTTGCTCCTCCTCGTTAGCTTTCTTTTGAACATGCTTCTGATTACAAATGTGGTCAACCACGGTTGATTTTCCTGATGATCCACAGTCACTTCACACGAAGAACAACAGTAGTTTCGTATCTGCGTTTTCGATATAGTTTTCCCCAGGAAACTCGTTCACTCTGTCCAGGTTAGTTTTTCCTCCTGCATGATGTTCCCTTTTCTGAGATACTTACAAAAGATCAAACCTGTTGATTAGATTGATTCTAACGAAATCAAATTCAAGTATCTTTCTTTATGAGTTTCTCCTTTTAAGCGATTTCCGAATTTTATACATTCCGCGATTTTTCTGTTTTCGCTGAACCGCGGAAGATTGCTCTTTATTGTTCACTCCTGTTCCTCCTGTTTCCATCACTCCTCCTCCATCATTCACTTCGCTATTCTTCGACCCCGCCCCCCCCTCCCTAGACGCAACATCGTGCTCGCCAAAGAGATAGAACATCTGCGCGCCGATCGAAATCGGATCAAAGATGGGGCGAACCAAACCACGCGCCTTCTGAACGAATGTCGTACGCAGCTGGCCCACTTGCGCACACGCCTGAAGCTTTACGAACATGTGGATGACGGCGGCTCCGTTCCCGACCAAAGGAATCTGGCGCTGTCGGATGTGAGCTCGCAGTCTAGTGAGTACAAATCAGCGTTGGAAGATGGTGTTGCCACACTGCCAACCTCATTGCACTCTTCGCCATCTGTGTTGACACTTTCGGGTGACGCTGATAATAATGAGGCGCAGCCGGAGTTTCCGAGGCGCACTGTCTCCGTTGGCCTGGATCCTCTCAGTACGTCTAGTGTCGAGGGCGATCGTCCTCCACTGGTTCAAGTTGATGGTGTCGGCAAATCGGGTAGTCTGGTGAGCTTGATTAATGCAGCGATTTGAACGCATCATGTGTCTTCAGGACTTTGTTCTTTTCGTACTTTTGGTCGGCATGTCACATTTTTGATTTGGTATTCACTATGACATGCATACGTATTTCGACTCAGCCGATCGGCTACGATCTTTGTGGATCAGGTTACCTTGTTTTGTGTGACCATGCAAAACCATGAAAAATACTAATGACTAAAATGATTGATATAGATAAATATGACTCGGGAGTGCTGGTCACATAGGATATTTATATTTAGGGTCCACAAGTAAGGTAGTAAATGCAACGACGGCACTAACAATATGATCCTGTTATATCCTACAGTATATTTAATTACAGCTCTCGCTGATCCCGTGGCCGCTATCCTCGATGGTCCTTAGATCCGCCCTCACGCGCTGAAGTCAAACATGAGATCAGACTGTTGAAATTGTATAAGGCCGCAGGGGCAGATAGAATATCCCCAACCCTCTTCAAATTCGGGGGACCCACTCTTGTAGACGATTTACACGAGTTGATAGTGGAACTTTCGGATCAGAAAAATGTCCCGACAGACTGGAGCCTATCCGTCTTAGTCCCAGTTTTCAAGGGAGGCTCCCGTTCGGAATGCGTCAATCATCGTGGGATCAGTCTGGTCTCAATTGCCTCCATATTGCTTGCGTCTGTCATTCTCCACAGACTGACCGGCGCTCGTGAAAGCCAGATGCGCGAAGAGCAAGCCGGGTTTCGTCAAAATCGAGGCGTCAGTTGTTGGAGCACCGCCATGTTTATTGGCGACCCACCGTTCATGTTTCTTGTTATAAAAGGTGCCTTCGCTTCGGTGCATCCATGTGCCCGCTGGGACTGTCTACTGAGTAAATGTGTGCCCGATAAATATGTAAACATTATCAAAGCGCTGTACGCGCATAGTTCGGGCAGTGTGAGGGTTTATGTCAAACTGTCGCCGCCTTTCAATATCTCCAGCGGTGTGAGACAAGGTTGCCCGCTGTCACCTTTCCTATTTAACTTCGCTATTGATAAAGTCACGGAAGCACGGTTCACTGCACACGGCCTAGAATATGTGGAGCTACTTTCTGATGGGCGACTTCTTGACTTGGAGTATGCGGACGCTATTGTCCTAATCTGTGACAGCTCCCGAACGTGCCAAGCAGCACTTGACCGATTAGCACTTGCTGTTAATCGTTTTGAGCTATGTTTTGCTTCATCGAAATGCAAAGTCCTTCTCCAAGATTTGCAGGGACCCACTCCTGCGCTAACCCTTGGTAATGATCAGCTAGAAGTCATTCGGGACTTCAAGTACCTGGGTAGTTTTACTAGTGACCGTGGAATCGAAGATGAGATTACATACCGTATAGCAAAAGCTCCAAGTGCTTTTGCCAATCTCCGCCACCTGTGGTGCAGACGCAACATCACTTTCTCCCTGAAGGGCAGAGTTTATAATGCACCTGTCCGTTCAACCCTCTTATACGATTGTGAAACCTGGCCCATCAGATCGACAGACATAAAGAGGCTAGTCAAGTTCGACCAACGCTGTCTTCGCAGCTTAGCTCATATCTGGTTGGAGCACGGCGGGAGCAATGAACGTGTTCGGCGTCGCGTATTTGGTGGAGGAAGAGCTAATGAACTGCGTAGCACCATTATATCCCGCACTAGGCTCCGATGGCTGGGCGACGTGTTGCGCATGCTAACACACCGACTCCCGCGACGGACATGGTTTGTGCGCCAGTGAGGCAGTTGGAAGAGGAGAGGAAGCCAAGCGATGACTTGGTCGAGAGAAATGAAGGCACTCACTTCGAGATTGGCGTCAGTTGGTGCATCTCGACTGCCTGGCTGGGGTCCTAAGGACGATGAACACGTTTGGTTGGACACATTTGCTAATATGGCGAAGAGCCGGCCCCAATGGCGTTTGTGTTGTGAATTTCTTTGTCCACCCCCTTCCCTTTTAGATTCCCCGTCCAATTCCGATCTCATACAAATTGCATAATATAATATTTAACATTATGGTACCCGCTTTTAAATTTTTGGTGGCGTAACTTTTTTGAATCTTACCTTTTCATGTTGCGGCACATTGGCTGAAGTGTGTTTCTCACCCTCAACTAACATCCATTGATGATGCTGATGATGAGTATCCTCGACGGTAGCACGTACCGTCCATTCGGCAAGCCTCTTCACCCTCTTTCATTATGTGAGGGAACCGACGCCTGAGGATTTCATCCATTTCACCGCGACACCGGTAGACAATGGAACAGTGGATTTATCATGGATGGAAAAGCAATATTCTTAACAGTTTTCGTAGATATAGAGATCAAAAACGGATTTATCAAGAAAAGCGCGTAGCGGTAGGCTTATCACATATTTTTCCATGAACACAGTTTGATTACTTTGACTCGTGTCCAGGATAATTGGGTTAAATCATGCAATACATCAGCAAGTCGGATTTTAATTTCCGTTAACGTAGGAGCAAATATAACGGGATGCTGAACTAACTTCCACGGCTGGGATACGCGAATGGAGAATACGGTCCGGCGGCATTCCAACCGTCTGTACTGTGTGACTGAATGAAAACGCTGGTCTCTCAACCAGGTGTTGCAGCTGAGTTTCCATAAGGGTTGGTATGGGTGATCAAAATCCATGTGGATCTGATACATCAACATGTGATCACTTAGTGGACTATACTGTTCGCTGAAAACTCCTGTAGTTTTTGTTCTCAACTGGTAATGGAGATGGAGCAATCCTTTGACGTATTTCGTCGCTCTCCGTTGTGGCTCCTCAAGTGCAGTGATGTCACGTTTTTTCAAAGAGTGCCGCACTTGGATGACGTAAGCGTTGAGCATTTTCGAGTAAAAGGTGAGATCAAATCGGCCAAGTGCTCTCCATAGTAGACCTAAGTGTTGACTTACATTTTCACTGTTATCTCGACCAGTTTTGTGCATCCGAGATCGTCCTTCACGAGCATCCCAAGATCACTTTCAATAGCAGTGCACTGCAAAACTTGTTCTCCCAGTCTGTATTCGTAGATGCTCTGGTGGCACATGCTCATTAGTTTACATTTGATAGAATAGCAGCAGAATCATCCGGTTGCCGGTAGACAGAATCTAGCCGTCGGAGACTGAACGGCATTATACGGTCCGTTGCGCATCATCAGGCTACACACTTTTGCTTTAGCTTGTTCGATGCCTCTACCAGCTGTAAGTTATGCTTCGCAGCGATAAGTTGTCTCAATCTTTTCAACACGCTGTGGCCACGTCCATGCTCTACACGTTGACACTCTAACCAGCGAACTAATATCGCTCTTATCCTAGAGGTTATTGAGTACCTCAAAAACCCACATCTGTCCTGCCGTTACGCCCGGTAACTTTTTTGGTGATGAAATCGCAATCAGTGGTACGTGTATTTAGCAGCGAAGTGAACCGATTGCTCACTTTGTGTGGTTATTCGTTAATTGTGCGAAATGATAATGGTGAGCCTGCCATATCCCGAGTCAGTAGTTTGTGCTCTAGGAGTGCATAGCAGGTGCCCAAGTGTTCACTGCTATGCATCAGCTATTTCAGTTGCGCTTGCATTTCAGTTGCGAAGCACCGTCAGACCAGTCTTCGCCATCGCCTTAACAGAGGTGGAAATACATAACTCCAATTCAGGTCACACTCATGTCATGATAACCGCTCATCATCTCAAGTATTGTTGGTCAGCAGCAGTCAACTTTGCCCGTTTGACGACTTCTGGTTATCTGCGATCTGCACTCTTGAAGTCGAGGAGCAAATTTATTATCGTGCTACAGTGCGTGTAGCACTGCTGCAGTGTGGTCTCTACAGCCCCTTCCCGAACGGAATCTGGCCTTCTCTTTCTTCATCCGCAATTCCCATTCGGCAATAAATCGACGGACTAAAATCGAGACCAGTAATTCTGTCTTCACTGGCATTAGGTTGATACTCCCGTAGTTAACACAGTCAGTGCTAGTATGATCGTTTCACTCTCTTTGTCTGTGATGGCCTCCATAGCTGTCCGAAAACAGGTGGGTCGCTGCTTTGAATAGCATAGGTAGAAATTCGTCACATCTAGGCTCACTCAGACAGCTAGCACACGTCCGGAACGGCACTGTACTGCCGTTTCATCCTTTCGGGAATCGTCAGCAGTGCGCATTCCATCTGACCTTGGAATGGCTCGAACCTACAACTCCACCGTTGCCAGTCTGTGGTTGGGACTACAGCTACGAGAGACAGCAACGACCATCGTGCTAAGTTACTAGGTGTGATATAGCGCTCCCACTATCCACTGACTTGCACCTTCCTGCCGTGCAGAGGACAGGGGAGCCCCTCACCAAGCGAGGAACTTGCCAAACTTAAGCTACCAATTAACTTATGGCATTATAAGCAGTTTGGTCGGCGTACTGATTACAGAAAATTAGTAGAGGGAATTGCATGGTTTAGACAGAAATTCGTCACATGTAGACTCACTCTTCGCTTGGTGCAGGGCTACCCTATTTTCTGCACGGCAGTAACGTACAAGTCAGTGGCTAGTGAGCGGCGCTATATCACATCTAGTAACTTATCTCCGATTATCACTGCCGTCCGCCGTAGGTCAGTGGTCTCAACCACGGACTGGCAACGGTCGAGTTGCAGGTTCGAGCATTACCAGGGTCAGAGGGTATGCGCACTGCGGACGATTCCCAAAAGGATGAAACGGCCGTACAGTGCTTTTCCGGGTGTGTGCTACCTGCCTGAGTGGGCCTAGATGTGACGAATGTCTATCTATACCATTCCTTCCCCCTATTACTCTTCTGCTTTGAATACCATACCCACAAAGGCGTCCGGACCAGCGGCTTGAAAACCATTGAGGGCAGTGTTCGCAATTTGTACCTCAGCCTCCGCTGAAGCCTCTGAACTAACCGCCCATTGCCCATTCTGCACCACCCGAGTCGAAAGAGGACTGAGAGCGCGCGGTCAACTGGACTGCTCTCCAAAGTGCTCCACCTAATGAGCAAAACGGCGTT